GTAATGCTTATCTTATCTGCATATCTTATTTCTGTGAGAATTTTGAAGCTGTAGAGTCCATTATGCATGCTGTCTAAATTTAAATAAAAAATATGTGCAGTTCACACGCAGTAGACGTTAAAACTTCAAATTACTTCAAAATAAAATAAAATACTTACAAAATAAAAATATTTCAAGGCAAATGATTCTTAATATTATAATTTTTAACCGTGCGGCATAAAATATATAATAAAAGTTTAATTTTATAGCAAATAAATGCTACAAACCTTATTTATAGACTAAGTTTTAGTGTAATAAATAAAAACAATATTTTCTTGTAAGTTGTAAAAGCGCCATCTACCTCATTCTATAGTTAAAATATTTTTATCGAAAATAATTTGATTGACTCTCAAGGTGGTACGTATAAAAGACGCTAGATGGCATGAATTTATGTAATAGTGGATTGGTATACTAAATTTTTTCAATATGGTTAGTATTTTTTTTGATGTTTATGTATGTCCCTTTTCCGGTGTCATCGAGTTTGCAAATCACAACGATTCTAAAAATAGTTTTCACTTCAAAATATGTCAAATATAACACATTCGAGCTGTAGCCATACAAGTATACAAGTTACAGGTATACAAAAAGTACTCTGCGTACAAGGCACCACGTTCTTCTTCCTTCCATTCATAACGTCTAACATAGGTGACATCATCAAATACGTGTTGGCGTCCTTACTTGTTACACACACACTTCACATGTCGTCAGAACATGTACTCACGCACATGTATGCATCTTAAATATTAATTTAAAATCAATAACATGATTTTAGGAGCATACGAGTCGTATGTTGTATGCATGTGTGCATCCAGTAGTAGACTTCTACGGACTGTTAAAGAAGATGAAAGCTGTGTGCGTGTCAACTATTTTTTTTATAGAATAGGGGGCAATCGAGCATGCGGCTCACCTGATGGTAAATGACTACCGCCGCCCGTGAACATCTGCAACACCAGGGGAATTGAAGATGTGTTGCCGGCCTTTTAGAAAGGAGTAAGTAAGCTCTTTCCTTGAAGGTCCCTAAGTCGTATGGGTCTGGAAACATTGCCGATTGTAAACGATTCCACAGAGGGGTAGTCCGACGAAAAAACTCCTGGTGAAACATACAGCGGTGGACCGCCAAACATCCATCATCATCATCATCTTCGCAATACCATCCACACCATCATTAAGAAGGTGGTGTGGAATGTATCGCAAATTTTGTCGCGAAGTACGTTCGTGGAATTAATTCGATCAATTCCTCACTGCACTCCCCGAGGTATGTGCGATAGTAGAGGTAAAGGGATGCAACCTGTCTACGCAGCGCCAGTGAAGCGAGCCAATCGGAGAGAACTTGGTCGTCGACGATTCGAAAAGTGGAAGGAACTGGCACTGGGGAGCACCGGCTCAGCGATGGGAACAGTATCCATATGAGGACGAACCTGCGCCTTGTACGAGGGCGGCACTGAAAATTTCGGGAATCAAGGAAGTGACACAACATTACTGTTTAAAAATGTATTTATTGCTTTTCGAAGTATTCTCCGCGAAATTTGACACATTTTTCCATACGATGGAACCAATCATTGAAGCAACAATTCCATTCGGAAGTTGGGGTCTCCAAAATGGCCGTTTTGTAGGCGTCCACAGCTCCTTCAGGTGATGAAAATCTCTGTCCACGCAATTTATTCTTTATTTTAGGGAAAGTATAGAAATCATTAGGGCTTAGGTCGGGGCTGTACGGCGGATGGTCTAATAATTCTATGTTTTCTTGCTCTAAAAACTCTTTTATTCTGTGTGCGGTGTGAGAACTCGCATTGTCGTGATGGGGGATGATGCGGCGGTTGCAGTTCTCTTTACGGAGTTCAGAAACGACCTGTGACAAACAAATGCTAGCATACCATTCTGCATTAACCGTTCTTTGTCCCTCAAGAGGAATAGTCGTAACATGGCCGGTTTTGGAGACAAACGTGGCCACCATTTTTTTAGCAACACTCCGTGAACGAACAATTTTTGTTGGCTTTAACTCATTTTCGAACACCCATACGTGACTAGTTTTTTGTTTCAGGTTCGTACGCGTATATCCAGGATTCGTCACCTGATACGATGTTGTATACAGCATTTGAGGATTCTGCGTGGAATCTTTCGAGAGTTCTGACGCACCAAGTAACGCGAGCCGCTTTTTGCTCTTCACAGAGCGAATGCGGTATCCATCGGGTAAACAACTTTTTTACACCTAATTGGTCATGCAACATTATTTGTATTTGACTCATGCCAATGTCTAAAGTTGCCTGAATTTCGCGGTATGTCACATGTCGATCTTTCTCAATCAGCTTACGCACAGCATCAACGTTTTCTTGGGTGACTGAGTTTTTGGACGACCTTGACGGGGATCATCACTGAGCTTGACACGTCCACGTTGAAATTCAGCAAACCAGCGATAAATTGTGGTTTCGGATGGGGCTTCATCACCAAATGCAGAATTCATCCAGTCAATACACTGTTTTTGTGTTAAACCTCTTCGAAAGTCATAATAAATCATCGCTCTTGAATTTTCTCGAATCAATTCCATTTTCTCAACGACTAAACAAGTTTGACAAAACCTTGTGACAAGACCGAGAATCTTTTTTTAAATAAATAAATGGTATTCGATTTTTAAAACTAAGGAGTTTTCAATTAAAAAGATTTTAATATGACAGGAACAGTGGAAATATTCCATTCCCGATACTTTTAGTGCAGCCTAGTAAAGTTGCAAGCGGTGTGTCGGCATGAAATACTGTCCCGCTCTGAGCACGCCAATCTTTTCAGAGGCCAATTTTTTCCTCCCTCCAAGAATATCACAAAACACGGTCCTGAGCCAATTGCATCTAACGATTTCCTGCATTTATTACCAAGTCGTCACTCAATCTTTTTGGGATCGCGATATACTTCGCTTATTATGGTTTTATTCGGATTAGTAAGCTGAAGTGGAAATAAGCCGGCCTCATGGCTCGAAAAACCGAAAACCGATAGGAAAGAAAATTTCTATAGTGGCAGCCTCGTGACGGTAAGCGTAAAATTATTGTTCGTATAATAGTATATCCCATTAGTTATAAGATACGTGAGGGTAACATGGGCACCATAAGCTTTGTCGCCCTATAAAATCAAAACTAGGAGAAGGGCAAAGACAAAAACACAAAGTCGTATAGTTTAACCAATATTTAAGAAAAAATTGTAACGAAGCTTTTGCAATAATTAGGAACACTTCAAAAAATCTTCTTAAAAAACTGACTACACTACACCATAGATACTAAAATCGACTAAAATATTAACTATAATATAAACTTTCAAAATGGCTTGGATAAAGCAGCGCTCTTTTAACCCTTTAATATTTGATTGGGTGCGTTTGGCAGAAAAAAGCGCTAGCAAGCGCTTACAAGCGCTGAAATAGTTTTCGGCTAGGACACGATTGCTAACCCGCCCGCCATTTTGTTTATTTAATTTGTTTGTTTTGAAGAGAAAATTAATATTAGTTTTAACTAATAACAAATTGGTAAATTTTTAATATGAATACTTTACAAACACATATTTAAATTAGGTTAGGTTCCCCCGGTTAAAACAACTTCGTGTCCCAGAGGAAAATAGCTACTTACGATTTGACAGCGCTTACCTCTTACGATCGCCATTTTGCTTACAAGCGCTTGCTAGCGCTTCGTTCTGCCAAACGCACCCATTGATTGATTGATGAAGAGCTATCGTATCACAGAGACATCTATGCAAACAAGGCTGTAGTTTTTGAGTTATAAGAAAGTGGTCATATTAATCGGATATTATCCTAATGTACTATATAATTCGTTTATATTTCTTGTTCATTGTCTGTACAAACCTCAATAAAAATACATTAAAACTTTTTACATAACACCAAAACTTTTTTTAATCCGGCAGAAATAAAAAGAAGAAAACAGAAGAATTCAAAATTCAAAATCCATTCGCGACGGCTTTTGTTCTAACGCCGCATTTCAATTTGAACAATGATCGGAATTTCAATGTAACACAACTACAAAAAACCTCTAAATTCGCAAGTGCTGGAATCAGGAAAAGCTATCTAAATTCCAGTAAAAACATGGCGCTAGTTTTAAGAAAAGCTATTATACCGAAAAACGTATCACTGCTGCGATGCATTAGAAAAAAGAGTTACGCTACAGCTGCAGCCAAAGGGATTACGACACCGCTTGGTAAGTGCACTGATAGTTTACCTATATTACTACGTTTAATACAATGAAAACAACGAATGCTTAAATAAATTTCTTTGGTCATTGATAAAATAATTCAATAACATAATTCAAGAGTGTTCTACATCAGATTGTCCTACAAGTTTTAACCAGAGTGTTATTAGAATAAGAGAAAGAACTGAAATAAGCTTAAATAACGTGTTATAGAATTTTAATTTGAAAAAGAAATTAGCAGTTGTTTCTTTCCTGACATACGGCAATCTCTTCGCATCCTAAATAATATTCTCTTTAGCTTATAATAGTGACCGACGACCGTTAAAAGTGCATTATTTACGCGAAACATCGGTGTAATTTTCTAAAAACTATCACTATCAAAGTATCCCTAAAACTCAAATGGCTCGACTGATTCTGATGAAATTTTTGTGTGTTTGAGTTACGTACGTTAGTCCCTGGCAGGTTACGTATGGTGGCGCTGTTGTCGAGATACAGACATCACCCGTGAGAAGCCGGGGCGGATAACCTAGTATAAAACAAAATTTGGCAGCTTTTTCCGTGTATATTACGGCGGCTGGTGTTGTTATTTTGGAGAAAATGGCCGCCACTGGGGGACCTGTTGGCTATAATACTCTTAAATTCCATTATGTCGTAAATTATTCCTGGATAGCAACCACCAGCCTGTAACTTTCATTAACTGAGTATTATAACCACGGATATCCCTTTCAGTGGCGGCTCCTGTCGGTGACACAGCCCTTAACGTATCATGGTGCAGAATGCGCTTTACTCCGCTATACGGCGGGGACTGCAGAGGAATACGTCACTATGCCGAGAAAAAAGAAGAGGGACGGAAAGAAGATGCCCAGCCTCAAGCATGTCCATATTGCGCAGGCTATCAGAATACCCCTTACAGTCTCGCTGCTTCATGTGGCCCCTGTCCACCTTGCGGCCCCTGTCCACCTTGCGGCCCCTGTCCACCTTGCGGCCCTTGTGGGCCATGCGGCCCCTGTCCACCGTGCGGTCCATGTGGACCATGTCGTTACCCGCCATGTGGGCCATGTCCGCCTTGTGGGCCACCGCCTTGTGGGCCATGTCCGCCATGTGGGCCATGTCCGCCGTGTGGCCCATGTCCGCCGTGCGGGCCATGCCCGCCGTGTGGACCCTGCTGTCCTCCGCCCTGCCCGTGTCCGTGCCCTTGTCCACCGAAATGCCCGCCGAGAAAATGCGAAAACGCAGCATGTCCTACGTGTAGAGCTCAACCGACTCTAGCAGAAGCAAAAGTCGCCAAATCCCAAGAAAAACCGTTAGGGACAGAAGTAGCAGCAGAAGCTTTGAAAAAGCAGACGTCCAAGAGTGATAAACAGTCTTCGCGAGTTTCCAGTAACGCTATCAAAGTGTCGCCATAACCTTCAACCCATAAGTCATTCAATAGTTTACTACTTTACATTATTAATAATAAAAATTTTAATTCGATTTATTTTGATGTTTCTTTGCTTAAAATATACTCCATATGATACATATTACGTTTGTTTTATTACTATTCTTTAAAAGTCTACCCTGTCAACAGAAAGTCACAAGAAGAGAGAGAGAAAGAAGTAAAGCTGTGGTAAGGGATTAGCGTTCTCGGGTTAAGTGCTTGCTGTAAATTTAACAGGACGTGAAAAACTCGGGTTCTAATAAATACATATACATATAAATTTCGAAGAGTTGTAGACGCATTAGAACAGTGCGTCAGTATTTCCTTACCCTAAAACCTTACAAATTTTTAAACATGCACCATTTTTTCATGAGTTGCTTCATGTATTTCAGTATTTGCGGACGCAAGGTTTTTCATTCAATATTGAGCATTGTAACTGGGTTTCGGTAGGTTAGACTGGGATACAACATTCGTTCCAGAGCAAGAATATTACACATAGTTTAGACATTTTTGTATGGGATAAGGTGACAAACGAGCACACAGTCCACCTGATGGTAAGTGGTTGCTGCGGCCCATAGACATCTACATCCATCCTCGATTAGAAATCAAAATGCAGATGCGTTGTCACCCGTGAGGTCTAAGATGGGATGCCTCGTTTCCAGGAAAAAGGGTCTCCGGTTCTCTACACATGGTGAGTGTACGAAACACAGCAGCACTAAGCTACAATTTCACGCTGGTATTCTGTGAGAGCGTGGTCCTTCCCCGGTCGAGCCGACTCATTTGTGCTACAACTACACTACTAATATAACTGCAGCATGGCTCTACCACGTATAACATTGTATAGATTGTATTAATTTAAGGCAAGAAATATTTGTTTTGAAATAGGCCATTAAGCCAATAAACCGTTACTGTTTTCGCAAGCTTCTTATAGAGAGCTTTGTCTCCAGTCGTTAACACGGACGGGCAGGAAAACAATGCTTGTTGCAGCTTGTCATATTGTTCAGTCTACCGTTACAGCCTAGAGTATAGGCCTCCGTCATAGGTTACCACATAGATGGATTTACAATAGTCGCCTCCCTTGGTAAGCGAGTTGGCAGCCGAGTTTATTTGTAGTCGTTATCTCCTCGTCTGTACAAACGTCCCGACATAATATGGCGTCGAGTGATAGCAAACTATTTGTAACATATGTATATGATATATATAACATACATATATATAACATATATATCTGCTATGCATAATCTTATACCTTATTTAATACCGTTTCCATTGATATATGATTTCAATATACTTACTTAGTATATATATATATATATATATATACAATATGTAACGTAATTAACGCACACCCTCAGACATCCTAATTAGTATATTATGTTATAATCATAATACATACACTGAATTTTTAGTTAAACATTTTTATGCACTGATTATTTATCAAATTAGTTATACTAATTCCGGAAGAATGTAGTGGTCACAGTACAAATCCACGAACGCAAAGACTTTAACGTGCTTTAAATAAAGTTCATTTTTCTTTACTATTATTGAATGACAGAATTACCAATAATACAAATAAAACTGCACTCTTAAGTCTTATTGCCTTAAGTTACGGTCCATTTCAGTTTGTTTTGACTGTACTAATTTAGTGTGACTGTAATTTACGTAGTTTTAATTATTTTTGGGATAAAAATTACCTATATTAAAAATATTAGAAATCGATTCAGTAAATGATTCTGAACAAACTACTTTCTCAAAGTGCGTTAATTATGTTACGTGTTGTATATATATTATATATATATATATATATATATATATACTTACTATACTTGTTATATACTAAGTACTTCGGAAAGTGCTCGACAGATGTGCCATATTAGCCAAAATGACCCCGACATTCGAGTGGATACTGGCCGTCTTATGATGTATTTCTCTGCCGCCTCTGGATGATATTGGGTAGCGGATAATCTTACACGACCGCTACACGGTTTACTTATTGTGCATCCTGATTAAAACAAAACCAAAACTGCGTTTTTGGTGAGGCCTGACTGAAAACTTGTCAGCTACAAGTTGTGATCACAACTGTGTTCGGAGATTGCGTTAAAGCTCGCGCTTATAATATATATTATACTGAGTGCCTCGTTGTTCTAGTGGTTGTAGTAGTGCGACTGCTGATCATGAGGTCCTGGGTTCGAATCCCGGGTCGGGCCAAAAATTAATTATTGAAGATTTTCCGTCAAGAAATTCTTAGTAGTTGCCCGGAGTCAAGAAGTTGGCGGTGTCTTACCCTCGTTTTTTTATAGGACAGGGTGACGAACGAGCACGCAGTCCACCTGGTGGTAAGTGGTTGCTGCGGTCCATAGACATCTGCATCTATCCTCGATCACGAATCAAAATGCAGATGCGTTGTCACCCGTGAGGACTAAGAAGGGATGCCGCATTTCCAGTAAAAAGGGTCTCCGGTTCTCTACACTCACCATGCAAAACACAGCAGCATTAAGCCACTATTTCACGCTGGTATTCTGTGAGAACGTGGTCCTTCCCCCGGTCGAGTCGACCCATTCGAGCTACAACTGTACTACTAATATAACTGCAGCATGGCCCTACCACGTGCAAACCCCGTGCCTCGGAAAGCACGTAAAGCCGTTGGTCCTGCGCCTGATCTCTCTCCGGTCGTGTCGGTTTACGTCCCATTGGAATATGAGAGTGAGGCAATATAGAGAGTGCACCTGTGCTTACGTATACACTCGGGCACTATAATCCTGTCCTGCGCTGATGGCTAGTCTCCGTTGAGGCAGGCCGCCGTGGCCACCGAAATTCGGTCTGGAGGACATTATGATATATACAGATTTTTAAAAACGGCTGAACCGATGATTCTGGCCCTACCGGGGATTCTAGCCCGGGACCACGGTAATCAACAGTCGCGTTTTTTTATTTTACGGTCCACCTGATGGTAAGTGGCTACTGTATGCCACAGACACCCGCAGTCAATTTCATATGAAGAAAAGTACCTCATGCCGCATCTGAGGACTAAGATGGAATGCCTCACAGCCGATAATTATACCGGCGTTCTATACTCTTCAAACCGGAACTCACGAGTATATAGTACTTATAGATCTTTTCTATATTTCAATATTGGTTGCCGATCGGAATTATTTAGGTGGTAGAGCCACGTTGCAGCTATGTTATGGTTGTAGCACGAATGGGTCGGCTCGACCGGGGAAGGGGTGTCCCTTCCCCGGTCACACAGAATACCAGCGTGAAAGAGTAGATCAATGCTGCCGAGTCGTATGGTATGTGTAGATGCGGAGACCCTTTTAACTGGAAACGAGGTATTCCACTATAGTTCTCAGGAAGATAGGCTTTTTGATTCTTAATCAAGGATACTTTATCAAGGATGTCTATGGGCCACATCATCCATTTACCATCAGAATTAGTGTGTAAACGTCACGTCACGTCTGATTCCTATAATGATTCTCGGGAAATAACACTATGGAAGTAGTTGGAATCAACCATTTTTGTTGTTGTCCACATCAGTTTTTGGAACCGTTTCTGAGATTCCGATTATATATATATATATATATATATATATATATATATATATATATATTCGGGATTCGAACTCGCGGCACTCAGCAACTCTGAGCTAGTTAGTCTAGTTAGTTAGTACATTTGAAAAAAAAAAGGTATTTGTGTTGCTCGTAGTTAATTTTTTTTGGCATAATTAGAATTCCGGTACTCAAAATCTGTATACAATGTTTTATGTTGCACTATACTATACACACTCACTCACACTCACGCCTGTCAGGAGGCGTAGCCAGAGACTACGGACTTACATTAGGCACGATCTTGAAATACCTCTCTCGTCTTTACATCCATATATCTACGCACACACGCTCGTCGGTTAAGGGTACTCCTAATGTAACCCATTTTCAAAATATCGCCAATTTAATCGATGAACTGCCGTTTACATCTGCGATATAAATTTGCTTTGTTACTCTTCCCTCGTTCATTCTTTCTACACGACCAAACTATCGAAGCATTCCTTTCTTAATCCTTGTCACAACATTGAACATCATCTTGCAAAACACACTCTTCTCTTATCACGCAATTTCTCACCCTGTCATTCAGATTCAGCCTAGCATACTTAAAGACCGCATTTCTATAGCATTTATTCTACTTTCATGCTTCTTCTTCTCTTTATGTTGCATTCGCATTTTATACAGTTTATTTTATACAGTCTTTACGTGGTAGAGCCATGCTGCAGTTATATTAGTAGTATAGTTGTAGCACGAATGGGTCGGCTCGACCGGGGAGGGACCACGCTCTCACAGAATACCAGCGTGAAATAGCAAAAGTGCTTTTCATATCCAACCCTTTTTTACTGGAAACGAGTCATTCCATCTTAGTCATCACGAGTGACAACGCATCTGCATTTTGATTCGTAATCGAGGATAGATGTAGATGTCTGCGGGCCACAGCAACCACTTACCACAGGTGGACTACGTGCTCGTTTATCACCCAGTCCTATAAAAAAAAATATTTTTTTACCACGTATTTATTAATTCGCTTTATTGTCTGTCGTTGTTTATACGTGGTAGAGCCATGCTGCAGTTATATTAGTAGTATAGTTGTAGCACGAATGGGTCGGCTCGACCGGGGAAGGACCACGCTCTCACAGAATACCAGCGTGAAATAGTAGCTTATTGCTGCTGTGCTTCGTATGGTGAGTGTAGAGATCCGGAGACCCTTTTTACTGGAAACGAGGCATTCCATCTCAGTACTCACGGGTGACAACGCATCTGCATTTTGATTTTTAATGGAGGATGGATGTAGATGTCTATGGGCCGCAGCAACCACTTACCATCAGGTGGACTGTGTGCTCGTTTTTCACCCTATTCTATAAAAAAAATTGTCTGTCGTTTCGGGTGGTATCTTGCAACTCAAACTTCGAGCACTTCCCGATGAGCTAGAGACTTGAAATTCAAATTGAACATAACTCAGGAGTGGATGACAATGTAGTAATATGAAAAAACGGGGTCAGATTTTTCTAGTGATTAGGAAGAAGTTGCTCGTCATCTCTTGGTCTGTTTCCCTTTTTATAGACTACTAGCTGTACCCCTCGACTCCGTCCGCGTGGAATTTATAACGAATGGTTTTTATGGGTTTAAATTACATATTTTTAGTAAAAAAAAATGCTTTAAGATAGGGCATAGTTGAACTTGATTATACTGGATGACCTTTTTACCGTCTGGAAAAAAATAAGTTGTAACATGTGAACGGAGTAGAAGCCTATCGTACTATTATTTTACAAAATAAAAACAAAAATTTTGAATGAAATTGAAATCTATCGAAATTCAAATCATATCTACCCCAGCCTGTGACCCTGCAAAGTGACAAGGTCAAAGATATTGCCGTTCGTAAAGTAGGGTGGATATGATTAAAATATCGATAGATTTGAATAAATTTATTTAATTCAAATTTTTTGTTTTGATTTTTTGTAAAATATCAATGCAATAGGCTTCTACTCCGTTCACAAATTACACCCTATTTCTTTTCCAGACGTAAAAAAGGTCATCCAGTATATGTACCTAACATCAATGTAACATCTATGATCCACGAAATAAATGATTCTGTTTTATTAGTATACGAACAAAAGGCTCCGTTCCTGCCTGTACCAGCAGTAAAAAAATTCAAGCATGGAGGATCTGAGAAGTTAGGAAATTTTCAAGGACATTTATTTTCAACACGCATTGGGGCAGCAGCGTGGTGGACAACTACCGGAGACCTATTGATGGGAAGTATGTAGGTCCTATCAGCCTATCGAAGTCCACCGCTAAGCCATTGCGGGGAATAATTGGCGTGATTGCCATACTTGGCAGGCAGGTCGCATAGGCCCATCTCCTGTTTGTTTCTCTCTGTCGCCTTTTATGACTCACGGGATGATATGTGGTAGTGGAGTTTCTAACACCGCCACCACTCTACGCATAGTACGTGAAGGTAATATGGTTATCCGGTTAATATGGTCACTCTCTTGTAACTCAAAAACATGTTTGCGCTAGATGACTTTGTAATACGATCGCTTTTCATGAGTCAATCAAATAAAGGGTCAAAAAGACACCGGCTTTATCGATGTCATTTTGACAGATGACATTATAGTGAATATTTTAGTCGCTTTTATGGTGTAAGTGTAGTTAGTATTTTTTTAAAAAAATTTACGACGTGTTCCTAATTATTGCCAAAGCTTGTTTTTTTTTTCTTAATATCTATTATATTCTAATGTATATTCAAATTAGTTATAGTATACGTCTTTGTTTTTGTCGCTATCCTTCTTTTTTTATAGAATAAAAGTGACAAACGAGCACACAGTCCACCTGATGGTAAGTGGATGCTGTGGCCCATAGACATCTACATTTTTATCCTATATTGAAATTCAAACGCAGATACGTTATCACCCCTGAGGACTAGGATAGAGTGCCTCGTTTCCAGTAAACGTCTACACTCACGACACGAAACACAGCAGTATTAAGCTTCTATTTTACGCTGGTATTCTTTGAGAGCGTGGACCTTCCCCGGTCGAGCCGACCCGTTCGTGCTACAACTGCAGTATAGCTGCAGCGTGGCTCTACCACGTATAAAAGTTCTCCTTCTGCCAGTTTTAGTTTTATAGGACGGCAAAAGTAAGGTGACCATATTACCCTCGCGTACCTTAGATATGTAAAGTTGTATGGTATTTTATTAATTTGCCTTCCAAGCGGAGCGCTTACCTCCCTATTATCCTTATCTATCATTCTAACTTTGAAGAAGTCCATGTCCAGCAGTCTCATGGTGGACTTCATTTTTTGACTGCATACAACGTATCGTAAACTTTGCAGCTACCCGGGTGAGATGTCGCAACCAAACCAAAATGGATTCCGACAAGCCCCGGACTCGTTTGAGGACTGAGAACTCAAAGCAGCTGCCGATGGCGATCGAGTGTAGCAAGACGAACAAGATTTTTCCGCTCCGGTTCTGCATGTCGTGCCCGACTGTTGACACATCAACGGAACACGCTGTGACACCGGAAAAACTTAGCCATCTTAAAACTAGACATGTGTCCCTCTTCACTAAACTGAATACAAAACACACATCTGTTACATTTCTTAATAACTATCCGTCTAACTTGATGACGTCATGCGTTCCCCAAGTGGCGTGCTGGCGTTCATATTCCAAGTGTTGTTCGCCATGTTCTTTTCCTAGCTGCTGCGGCTGTCTGCCACCACCATGCAATGAACCGCCCCGTTGTATACAATGTATGACTGGTTACTACTACTACCCCTATGGGTACTGGTTTTGTGGTCCATATCATGTAGGTGGTACATGCTGCCCCGTGGGGCCATCCGGAATTTGTCCTCCACAGTCAAAGTGTTGTCCCACAGCAGCCTGTGTTTGTCCGGCAGCGGCTGCCGTCGTGACTCAAGCGGTGAAAGCTTGCGCTAAAACTAAGCCCATTTCCGATCAGCCTTTCGAATCTCCTATCTCTGAGCAGAAACCTCAGAGGTTAAAGAATAAAACCATTAAGCCGGAATCTGGAGTACGTAAGGCTATCAGACCGGATCTTTCTAAGGCAATTCCAATTCCTTTAAGCACCGATGCCAATGAAAAAAGCAGTCCAAAGTCCGCAGTAGAAAATAAACAGATCCATTCGACTACTTACTCTTCGCTTTGCTGTTCACCTTGCGGATTTAAAGGTCCATTAGAAAATCCTGTCAATTCTGTAAAGGCTGATTTTAATCAAATGAAGGTAAATTATCACAGCATCAGTGGCCGTTTCAATTCTAGACTGGGTTATGCAAACTATCGTGCTCCAATAAATAAGAGAGACATCACTGTTCATCAAAAGCGTTGTAGGTATACCGGTGTCATGAGACCTCATACACTACTTGGCAATGGAAAGAACGACTGTCATGGAATAAGACTTGAAACATATACTCGCCCCCAAGCAGTTCATGAGACGTTTAATCCCTATGAATTATAGTTTTCACACCCTCAAATTCAAGCTTTTTTGTCAATACTGTTGTTTTCTGAACTGAATTGTAAAAAAAAACTACACTATAATAAAAATACTAAAATATTCAGTTGTTTTATTTTCTGTTTATAACTCACTCGCCTTATTGTATCCGATAGAAGATGGTGATTATTATAGTAAAGAATCGTGATTTCAGCGAAATCATGCAAGCCGAGCTTGAGCGGACTGTTAGAGAAAGCCACAACGAGACATCCGATGGGCAAGATCACCGAGGTGTTGAAGACAAAGCAGTCATTGAAGACATGGTGCTTGCCACGACGATGCTTTTCCTGTACTTCCATCATGATGCCAACAAAAGCGCAAACGTTGCTCACTTCTAAGTACAGCTGGTACAATATCACTGCGAGCCCCAACAAGAAACTTCACTTTTGTAACACGAACAATTTACCAATAAGAAATAGATTGTCATCTGCGTCTCTTACCCTACCAACGACACCTGTTGGCGATAAGGTACATTATTCAAACTGTATAAAGGATAGTTTTACTATGTGCGGTTGCCCATCACCACCTAGCTGTGACTGCTGCGATCTGCCACCACCATGTAATGAACCCCCGAAGTGCCTTCAGTGTATGACCGGCTACTACCACTACCCATACGGCTTCTGGTTTTGCGGACCTTACAACGTATGTACGGGACCGGTGCCCTGTGAGGGACCGGTCAAGGCCGGCGGATCCTGTGGGCCTGTCGCTGGTCCAGTACCCTGTTTCGGGACGTGCGGGCCGTGCAAGCCTTGCGCTCCGTGTGGACCATGCGCGCCATGTGGACCATGCGTACCATGTGGGCTGTGTGCTCTGTGCGACCCGCATTTATCATACTCGCAGTATGGACAGTATGGACCCAATGCGGCTTTTGGGCAGAGCGCTTCATGCAACCAATATGGACCTCCGGTGCAGCAACCATATTGGGGCACACCTAACGAGTACTCACATCCGACGTACACCTACGATTCAAGCGGTACTCAAGCATATCACAGTTATTCGGATTCAACTGAAACGCATGCTAAGTCACACCAAAAGTCAGAGTTAAAAACCGGAATTTCTCCTAAGACTGGTTTTTCCACGTCAGCAACACTGTCGTCTAAAGCTCCAAAAGAAAGCTTAAGTTCTGACCCAAGCACAGCGACGCCATCTGGAAATGTCAACATGGATACATCACTTGTCAAAACGTATCCGTTCAACAAACCAACCTATAAAATTCCAAAGCCGAAAGGATCGGAATCACGTTCTTTCAGTAGTGACAATAGTCCTCTCAAAAATGAATCAATCGAATAATTATCAACTATAAACATGTTAAAACTATAAACATGGTTGTTGCCACGGACGTCGTAATAGAAACAAGGGTTTTAGCGCATAAAATTTTTGTAATGATATAAGCAGAAATAGTGATGGTGATGTTTTGTAAAATTTTAATTTTAACCTCTCTAAAATATAATATGTACTTAACACATTGATGGTATTTTATTTGCTCCTATTTTTAATAACTTATCGATTCTTAATCCAAAGAATGCACCATATAATACATTGTGTGTGTATGAGCACTAAGATGTAAAAAATTACATCCCTTAGAAGTGATCAGTCAGTTCTCAACACTGCCCGCCAGAGCTCTGAAAGTATTTTCACAGTTTGTTATTAAGTGTGGTGTATATTATTAATGTTGTCACATAACTATTTGGTGTATACAATAGCGTTAATTGGTACTATTTGATGAATTGTGCTGGTGTTTGTGCGATGGCAGCCCGATTACAGAAACAGAGTAGTAAAGAAACCTGTCCAACAGCAGAGAGGTGTATGGTAGGGTATGTATGTATGTCGTCACTTTCATCTAGTGAGAGTCCGCTCAACAATTCGCTTACCGGTACCTGGTTAAGGTAATCTTAAGCCATATTTTTTCCCTGTAAGTTGTACAAAAATAGTGGTAGCATGGTACTCTACGTGGGTAGCAAACATTTCCGTGACACCGAGGTTTTTTATATTTTTTAACCCTTTGAACGCCAAGCGCTAAACATCGGAAGTACTCTCTACGCCAAGCCATTTATTTACTATTAAATACATACAAAATGCGAGTGATGGGGTATGAGGAATATCGATAAATCTTTATCATGGCTACTGTAATCGATTTCCCAAGTACATATAGAGGTGTTAAATTTATTAAATAAATTTTACTATTGTATCATTTTGATTCGCAAACGACCCCATATATATATATATATATAAAATGAATATATAATGATAAAAATTAGATTTTTTCTAAAGTTTCAATCACTTCTAACAGTTTAAAAACTATTTGTGTTCGAAAAATGTAATCTTCTGCTGCAACCCAGTTGTCGAGAAGATTCCATTTTCCGAACACGTATTGTTTATAAAATGTGACGTTCTTTAGAATAAAAATTGTTATTTACCCAACTGTATTTAGACCACTTTTTTGTTCAACCGCCTGTACTACGAGGGGCACACTGAAATGATCGGGAATAGAATATTTCGGATTGAGTTACAATAAAACCTTTTTAGAATTTGAATACTGGCCTCTTAGAATCTTAATGACATTCAAACAATTTAAAAAATTTAAAAAAAACTATTACGGTTTAAAGTTGACACGTCATTAACGAAACACTAAGAAATGGAGCTCACGCGTGAACATTTCCGTGCCATAATTCATCACAATTTTCGTCGTGGCTTATCTCAAGATGAATCTCTCAGCGAACTTGTTTCTATTATGTAGAAGCACCGAGTCAAACGACAATATACCGCTGGTATGCCGAGTTCCGACGCGGTCGTGTGTCGCTCAGCACTATTTCTTCTGCAGATCTACCAGGAACTGCGGTCACGCCTGAAAACATCGCAGCTGTGCGAACTATTATATTAGATGACCGTGATGTGACATACGAGCGGATTCAGGCTGTTATCAGTATCGGAATGACTGCAATTGAGTCCATATTACATAATGAGCTGTGTGTAAGAAAGCTAGTTTCCCGCTGGGTTCCCCACAATTTGTCCGAAAAGCAAATGGCGGCTCGTGTAGATTGGAATACTCTGCAACGCTTTAACGGAGGAAGTCAAATGCCGTTTATAATATCATCTCAGGTGACGAATCATGGATTTATTCATACGAACCTGAAACAGAACATCAGTCAGCAGTTTGGGTCTTCAAAGACGAGGTCAAACGAACGAAAGTGGTTCGCTCCCGCAACGTGTCAAAGAAAAGGTCGCTATGTTTATCTCGAAAAAGGGGCATGTTGCTACAATTCCTCCTACAAATACAGGAACGCAGAACGGTTACCGCTGAGTGGTATATCACGGTTTGTTTGCCAGAAATGATAGCCGAAGCTCCCATACGGCTCGGAAGACAAATGATTTTTTGAAGCAGGAAAACATTGAGCTGATGAGCCATGCTCCGTACAGTCCTGACCTGAGCCCAAATGATTTCTTTACATTCCCTAGAATGAAAGATTTATTACGAGGTCAACGGTTTGAAGACCCCGAAGCAGCTGTGGAAGCGTACAAATCAGCCATTTTTTCAACATCAACTTCAGACTGGAATTACTGTTTCAATGTTCTGGTTTGCACGAATGGGAAAGTGCATTAAGTTGAACGGAGAATACTTCGAAAAACAATAAACTGCAATTTAGCTATATCGTGCATGTGGTTTTTCTTATTCCCGATGATTTTAGTGTGCCCTAGCACAATCTTCTAGTCAATTGTAGATGATTAAATTACCCCATCACTAGTGTCGCTTCAAAGCGACAATGGCATCTGGTGAACGCATGTTTTGAGGTCTTATCTTCGCCTAATGCAAATTCAAATTAAGAATGAATACTTCCTACCAAGATCAAGCTTAACTTTGGTTTCATTCAATTAAGTGACATACGGAGAAGATAACAAAAATCTTTTCACCTATTCTCTATAGTATAAGATAATAAAGTAGCATCTGTTTGTCGTCGCTGGCGTTCTAGCGGCCAATTACGTTTGTCGCTTGTAAGCGTCGTTGGCGTTCATCATCATCATCATCATTACAGCCCTTCACAAGTCCACTGCTGAACATAGGCCTCCCCCAAGTAATGCCACAAAGCACGGTCCTGAGCCACCTGCATCCATCGACTTCCTGCATGTCTTACCAGGTCGTCACTCCATCTAGTGGGGGGTCGCCCTACACTACGCCTACCGGTACGAGGCTGCCACTCGAGAACCTTTCTTCCCCATCGGTTATCGGTTCTTCGAGCTATATGGCCGGCCCATTGCCACTTCAGCTTACTAATCCGTTGGGCTATGTCGGTCACTCTGGTTTTACTGCAGATATCCTCATTTCTGAGTCTATCACGCAGTGAAACTCCGAGCATAGCCCTCTCCATAGCTCGCTGAGCGACCTTGAGCGTCCTCATACGGCCAGCGGTGAAGGACCACGTCTCAGATCCGTAAGTCATCACTGGCAACACGCACTGGTTATACACTTTAGTTTTCAGAGATTGAGGTATACCTGACGAGAGATGTGTCGTAATTTCCCGAACGCTGCCCAGCCGAGTTGAATCCGTCGATTGACCTCTCGGTCGAAGTTGGACTTACCTAGTCGGACTATTTGTCCCAGGTAAACGTACTCGTCAACAACTTCGAGCATAGTGCTCCCAACAACTACCGGCATAGGTGTGACATGGACATTAAACATGATCTTTGTTTTGTCCATGTTCATCTTAAGACCTATCCGTTGGGAGACACCATTGAGGTCATTGAGCATAGTGCTAAGGCCCTCCAGCGATTCTGCCATAAGGACTATATCGTCGGCAAATCGAAGGTGAGTGATGTACTCGCCATTGATGTTAATACCGTATCCTTTCCAGTCCAGTAGCTTGAAAACGTCTTCCAACGCAGTGGTGAAGAGTTTCGAGGATATAACATCACCCTGTCTTACACCTCTCTGCAGTTGGATAGGTTTCGTAATGTGGTTCTGTACTCGGATAGCCATCGTAGCCCTATTGTACAAACACTTCAGCACTTCAATATACCGACAGTCAACTAGGCACCGCTGAAGAGACTGTAGCACCGCCCAAATTTCGACGGAATCAAAGGCTTTCTCATAGTCCACATACGCCAGGCAAAGTGGCAGATTGTACTCTTCGGACTTCTGTACAATTTGCCGAAGGGTATGTATGTGGTCTATGGTACTGAAGCCTTTTCGGAAACCGGCTTGTTCGGGAGGCTGGAAGTCGTCGAGTCTGCATGCGAGACGATTCGTAATGACTCTCGAAAACAGCACGTAGACGCGGCTCAGAAGGGAAATCGGTCTGTAGTTCTTCAAGAGAGCGTTGTCGCATTTCTTAAAGAACAAGACCACCGCGCTTCTGCTCCACGCCTCCGGAGTAGTGCCACCATGGAGGACGGAATTGAAGAGCTTCTGAAGGACTTCAAGTACCGGTGTTCCACCCGCTTTCAGAAGCTCCGCTGTAATTCCGTCCTCGCCCGGGGCCTTGCCGTTTTTAAGGTGGTGGAGAGCCATTCTAATCTCGCTCAGACTGACGTCCGGGATATCATCGGAATAGTGTCGGATAAGACTTGCTCTTGGATCGTTACTCACACTTGCGTGTGGCTCCAACGATGATGTGTACAGCTGCCCAAAGAACCTCTCAATCTCACTCAGAATCTCAGGTGTCCCGGAAACGATGTTGCCACACTCAGTCTTCAGTCTCGACAGTTGGCTCTTTCTGGCAGACAGATCTCTGGCAAAGACTTTGGAGCCCTGGTTCCGCTCGATCGCTTCTTTAATACGAGCAGTATTAAAGTTGCGTAAGTCTCGCCGCATGAATTTGGAGATCTGTCTGTTCAGTTACCTGTATGCTGTCAAATCTGTTGACGATTGCAGCCTCATCTCCCGTCTAACAGCCGTGAGATTAAGAGTGTGATCGAAGAGTTTTTGTGTTCTTCTGCGGCAGGTCTTGCATAACTTAGCTCCGACCGCATGGACAGTTTCCACGAGCTTGTCATTCATATCGCCTGCATTGCAATCCTCTAGGCACTGAAAGCGGTTTTGTAACTCGAGCTGAAAGCTTTCGGGATTCTGGATTAGAGCACGAGGGGGACGGAGCGTTGACTTCATTAGACGAGACCTCTCCAACTTAACATTTAGGTTCAGTGTGCCTCTAACCATTCGGTGATCGCTGCCAGTTTTCACCCTTGCGATCACTGAGACATCACTGAACAGTTGGCGTCTGGTCGTCATAACGAAGTCAATCTCATTTTTTGTCGAACCGTCGGAGTTCGACCAGGTCCACTTCCTGTGGGGCCGC